GTTCTTGGGAAAGTCACTAGGAAGCCTTCTATAGTAAATCTATTTCCTGGAAACCCAATACACACTTTAGATTTTCTTCCTTGGCTTGATTTTTGGTTGCTTGGCAAGCCTAAATGGCTTTGCCTAGTAATTTCTTCCTACATATAATTACCTATTTTTTTCTCAATTGATTGCCCACATGCAGACACCCCAGGTGCTTGCAATGACCAAATCTATACCTGTGATGTTAGCAAAGTTTTTACCTATTTTGAGAAAAGACATTCTAAGTCAGAATGAGTATTACCCAAATATCCATTACTGAAATATATGGCTATAAATCACCATTCAGATGATTGATTCCATCTGAGTGTTGGGAAGATTAGCTCAGCTATAAAGACAAAGTCACATACATCAAAGGTTATCTCAAATTAGTAATTTTTGCAATAGATGGAATCAATACAGAGTACGAAATTGAAAAACTGTAAATTTAATTTGCTACAAATCACTGTTTCACGGAATGTCTTAATGTTTTACCTATAGCATAGAAAGGAATAAATCTGTTTATCCTCTGTTCTGTGCAAAAACAAACACAATCCCCAACCTAAAAACATTCTGGGTATTAATAAGCCATAAAATCTATAAAATAGATTTATTAAATGCATTAACTCTTTAAAATAGCTGAAGTAGCCATATTCATAATTTTTTATATTAAAGATTAATAAAAAGTAAAAAAGTCAATTTAAAAATATTTTCCCAAACCCAGATATTTCACAAAATATAGTGAAAAATTAGTATATTAATTTGGCAGGGTTTTTAGACAGATTTTCTCCAGGTCTGCTTCCTTGAGATTTCCTTTTCAGATGCATCAGAGGTTCCCTCTCTCCGCAGAGATTCCTTCATAATCTTCCCCACCTCACAAATGGCACCCCACCTAAAAAACTGAACCTCATCCTTGAAACACCACCATCTATTTTACCAATAAAGGCATCAAGATAGTTCAAATCCATTCACCTTTTTCTCCTTCCTCCAAGCAACCCCTAACTGATCTCCGCTCTCACTTGTGCCCTCTTCAATTCATTTGCTTCATAGCAGTCCGAATCGCCTTCTAAAAATTATACATTTTATCATGTGTCACTCATGCTTAAAATATCACAGTAATTTCCCATTGCATTTCAATATAAACACAAATCTTCAAATATGGCCAACAAAGCTAAGTATGATCTGGCCCTTGCTCATCTTGGCTGTATCATTTCATGTAATTAATGTTCATATTATTAGACTCCTAGAAGTTATCAAGATCTTTTTCTACACTATAGCCATCATACTCACATGCCTCTACTTCCGTCTGGGATGCTCTCTCCCACTCTTTACCTGGCTAAATGTCTATTTTAATTTATATTTCAAGGCTTAGCTTAAGTGGCATTTGCTGATAGAAGTCTCCTTTGACCCACTGTTTAATTGGCACCCCCTTAAAATTCTTTTAAATTTATTCCTAGTACTTTTCCCAATTTATATTACAGGCGTTCTCCCCACCAGGCTATAATCTCCTTGAGAGCAAGAACTATCTGAATTTTCTTTGTGAATCTCTATTGTCTGGATCTGTGCCAGGTACATAGTAGACAATACGTATTTGTTGAATAATTGAAGGACTACATTAATGTGTATCTAGATAACTCTGTATTATATATACATAATTCAATCCAGTTAGCTCAGTTGGCTAGATTTTTGATGCTTACTATATTGTACCCATGTGCTCATGGAAGGGCAGATAAACTGTGCACATGTCAAGTTTTTTTTTCTTTTAAGTTCTGGGATACATGTACAGAATGTGCATGTTTGTTTCATAGATATACATGTACCATGGTGGTTTCCTGCACCTATCAACCTGTCATCTAGATTTTAAGCCCCGAATGCATTAAGTACTTGTCCTAATGCTCTCCCTCCCCTTCCCCCCAGCCCCCCAACAGGCCCTGGTGTGTGATGTTCCCTCCCTGTGTCCATGTGTTCTCATTGTTCAGCTCCCACGACCGAGACCATGTGGTGTTTGGTTTTCTATTCCTGTGTTAGTTTGCTGAAAATTTTAGATTCTCTGGACCATTTTGTCTCTCCTAGTTATGATGAATCATATCTTCCACTTTATTCCAATGAAATCATGGCTCAGGCTCCATCATAGAGCTGAGTTCATTTTGTCTTGCATTAAAGGTAGTTGACTTCACATGCATCTCTCCCATTTAAACTTTCTGAGGACAGAGACCTTATCTCATTTATCTTCACTCCAGGGTGCATAAGAGTTTCCGTTGTATGAGTTAAACATTGGTAGGTATTCCCTTTACACATATTGTAATTCAAAAATGAAGAATTATAAGGTGCCCAGTGAAGTTAAGACCATGAGGTATCATCAGAGTTAGTGTAAAATCCAATTTACACTATTCAACTTACTCTGATTCAGCACTTGCTGTGTTTATGGTACTGGGAGAGGCATGAGGAATTTAAACAATGACTAAAATTGTTTTTCTGTAAATCAATAAGCTTTATATAGAGAAACAAATCCCCATCAGTGACCTCTGGACAGCAACAGTAGAAAGAAGTATGACTGACTCAGCATAACCCCAACAGGCCCAATGGACCTTTCTCAAGAACCTGCTTTTTAGGGATGTAAAGTTATTTCTAACAGTTACCTGGTTCTCCTCATCTCAGTAGACCAAGTTCACTTGTAACCCCATCTCCCATACATTGTATACTTTAATTGGGTTATTGCCTAGGTATACCCAGTTGATTGATGCTCATTTCTCCCCATTTCCCCACTCCAGGTCCCACAGCAATTACTGCCCCACTCCAGGCTCAAGGAAGAAAGCAGTTCAGACTGAAGTAAACCAGCTGGAGCCCTAGTGTCAAAAATAAAAATCCAAAAGATGTGTTCTTGATAAAATTAAGTTTTAGTCATCTATAGCCTTTAAGTGCTCTGCTGAGCAGCTGGAGGTCAAACAGTTGCTCAGCTAGCAGAAGGTCTATAAATGCATGATGTTACTTTGCTGAGTGGTTAAAATGAGTATTTGTCTTAGGGCTACGCTGAATAATTACAGTTAATTGAATTATAGAAATAGCTACATATAATATATATGTTTAATAGAAATAATGTGTATGGCCATTTTGTTTGGCTTTAAAGCTCCTTGCAATATGCTTTTAGTAAATGTGAGGTTTGAAAGTCTTTCATACCACTAGAGACCGTGGTATGAAAATGCTTCACTTTTTTTCTTTGTTCCCAGATTTAGTTCTATGATTTTAACGCATTTGAATTTAACCCATGAGGAATCTCTGAATATTTTCATTACATTACCAAACAATTGTTACAAAGTTTAAAACCATACGTAGTAAGTAATAGTACAGATAACATGCATATACAGATAATTTTTGTTGGTCAGTTAGTTTGTGACAGGTCTTATTCTGAATACTTTTTGTGAATCAACTAATCTAATCCTCACAACATGTCTAGGAGCAAGTACTATTCTTATTTGCACTTTGTAGATGAGAAAATATGACCCAGAGAGGTTAAGCAATTTGCTCAAGGCCAAACAGCTAGTGAGCTGCAGAGCCAAGGTACTAATCTAGACACTTTGGGCTGTAAAGTCTGCATCTTAACCACCAGGCTCTATTGCTTACCATGTGCCAGCTGTTGGTTAAACGCTTAATCCTCATAAACCCTATGGATTGATGCTACCATTGTGATCCCCATTTAATAATGAGGGAGTTGGCCCAACTAAGATGACTCTGCTAGCAAGTGGTTGAACCAGGTTTTTAAACTCAGTCCTGAGATCTTAAATACCACCCACTACTGCCTCCTAGAAGAGGTGGTAGGCTTATTTCTTCAATCTCAGATAGTATTAGAAATTAAATAGATTTTAAAGAAATGAGAAATGATTTACTCAAAGAGTACAGTGATTATCTGGTCATAATCATTTAAAATATTTAAATAATGTTAAGCTAATTATTAGATTTTTTTCCAAAATATTAAATACTATTAAGTTACTACTTAATGTCATCATTCTGAAGAACAGAGTTCAAAGGATTATTCTTAAAAATTAGTATGGGCCAGGTACAGTGGCTCCTACCTGTAATCCCAGCACTTTGGGAGGCCAAAGCAGGATTACTTATGGCCAGGAGTTTAAGACCAGCCTGAGCAACAAAACAAGGCTCTGTCTCTACTACTACTACTACTACTACTACTACTACTACTACTACTACTACTAACCACATGCACTAGTGCATGCCTGTAGTCCCAGCTATTTGGGAGGCTGAGATGGGAGGATCACTTGAGCCCAGGAGCTTGAGGCTTCAGTGAGTCATGATCCTGCCACTGCACTCTAGCCTGGGCAACAGAGTGAGACCCTACCTCAAAACAAAACAAAACAAAACAAAACAAAAAACCAAACAAACAAAAATTAGTGTGGTAATTCATCTGTTGATGCAACTCCACAGAGTATCTATAATAATCTCAAGAGATATATGTACATTTCAAAAAAAAAAAAAAAAATTTAACTTATTTTGGCTATTGCAAGCATAAAATGTCATGTAACATTGGGTACAACACACAAGAATATAATCAAACTTTAAACATATCACAACAACATTATTTAAAAAAATGTTATATTAGTATAGATTATTTTCTTTTTATTACTATTTTGCTAAATGATTTACCATTTGTATCTGAAAAATTAGTATTAATATGCTAGCCAAGTTATCATCATCCAGTAAGATTCAGTATTTATAGAAAAATATAGATGACTGTTATTATTTTTGTTTATAAGGACGTTTCTACATAAATCTATCCTTTCCTTCCTATCTGAGTTCATATTTAGAGTACTGGTTTCCTTTACCCTTTGTAACCACTATTATAGCATTTTAAATCTCTTGGTAAGCACTGAATGTCAGAGGTTAAAGAGTTCATCGTACGAGTATTGTGGCATAAACTTTAGCCAGATGGTTTGCCACTAGTATCTGTGAGTCATTTATATTTGTATTACCTTTAGGGCCTTTAAACAGTTTGATTTCCACAACGGTCTCCAAAATAGGTCGTCTTCTACGCACATACAGCCGAACGATAGACCCCGCTTCCTTGAGGGCTTCCACCGCTTTACTGTGGGAAACCTCTGACACATCAACTTCATTCACCCGCAAGATACAATCATTGACCCTGCAAGGAACGAAAAGAGTCAAGATTCAGAAGTGGCTAGTAGGATTTCTTAAATAATATTATTATGTTTATCTGAGCTTAAGAAGTGGGAAAGTAAAGAACCTAAGAAATGTTAAAATATTTACATTTGGAAGGATGCTTCGAATGAAGGAAATCTAGAAAATGTTAAACTCCTCAAGCCTCTTAGCCTTCTTCCCAGCCACTTTTTACTATACTACTGGTCACGTCCCATCCTAAACTCCAGTCCACTTTGACTGGGACTGCTTCACATATGGCATGGTTAGAAGGGCATGTATTTTAAGACCTCCATAAGTTATCATTATTTTAATTGGTTTGACTGAAAGTCACAATTTGAGTGGTTCCCAGAACTTATTACTATGACCTATATAGACATAACAAATATAACTATATAGATATAACAAATATAACTACAGACTAATGTTCTCAAAATTTTAATTTACTAGTTATAAAAGTAATAAGTAATCATTTTCAAACACCTGAAAAATATAAAAATGTAGAGAGAAGAAAAAATATGCTTGACTCAATCATCTAAAATAAACCTATTAGGTCGGGTGCGGTGGCTCACGCCTGTAATCCCAGCACTTTGGGAGGCCAAGGTGGTTGGATCACCTGAGGTCAGGGGTTCAAGACCAGCCCAGTCTGACCAATATGGTAAAATCCCATCTCTACTAAAAATACAAAAATTAGCTGGACATGGTGGCATGTGCCTGTAGTTCCAGCTACTTGGGAGGCTGAGAAAGGAGAATTGCTTGAATCCCGAGGGTGCAGCTTGCAGTGAGCCAAGATCACGCCATTATACTCCAGCCTGGGAGACAAAGCGAGACTCCATCTCAAAAAAAGAAAATAATAATAATAATAATAAATTAAATTAAATTAAATTAAATTAAATAAACCTGTTAGCTTTCTGGCAAATTATCTTCCAGTGTTTCCTCACCCTCCTCTCCACCTCAATTCATCTTATAATGTTATAAATACTGAAGTTCAGATTTACAAAGTTCAAGGAGAACCTCAGACAATCCTATTCCTAGGTGCTTACTTTGAAAACTAAGAACCGCAACAAATTCTACATCAAACTTCCCTCTTTTTTTTTTTCATTTTCACATGGAAAGGAATAATTTGACATTTCCATAAACCATTCCAGGTACTTTAAAGTTATGTGGCCATCGACGTCAGATATATTTTATTTTCATGATAATAATTAGTGATAACATTAATAATGGTTAAGAGCACAGGGCTTGAGACTTCTTTCCCTCACTCTGCATATCCATTCTAGTGTCCCCAATCTCAGATCACCATGTTGCTCAGAGTCAAAAATGAGAGGCCTCCCTTGCTTGATGCTTCTTTCCCCCACCACCACAAGGTCAGTTCTACCTGCAAGTATAGCCTCAGTCCATCCAGTTTCTTCATCTTCATTGCTACCACCCTGGTTGAAGTCAACATCATCTCTCACCTAATCACCTCCACAAACGCCTGTCTAGCCTTCTTGGATTCTCTCTTGTTACCTTTCCATCCATTCACTACACAGTGGCCAGAGTACAGTGAACCTGGCTGGTTTGCTTACTCAACTGCCATTCCCCACTTCCTCCTTCCAAACCGTGTTCAGTTTTGTTCAGGGGATCTTTCCTTAGCAAATATTTGTTTAACAAGTGAAAGAATAAGACTAAGTTCAATGATTGGGTCCTCCATTTTCTAAGTTTGTAACCATAGTTGATTTCCTTAGCCTCTCTAAGCCTTATCATATTCTCATCTGTAAATTGGATGTAATAGTAATATCTATCAGGAAGGCTTTTGGGGAAGATTAAATGAGATAAAGCACATATAAGCACTTAGTACATACCCTGTTATGTAATGAACACCTAATAAATGTTTGTTATTGATAGTGCAATATTTGTTGATTTATAATATTCTCAACTATTGGATCCTTCCTATAACTTTGTGGAATAAACCTTATTATCTACATTATAGAAATGAGAAGACTTCCAAGTGATTAAGTCCTCTGTTTAAAGCTGTCAGCAATTTGAGCAGAGACTGGATTTGATTTCAGGTCTTCCTATTTCAAAATTTGAGCTTTTTCCTCTTAGGACCATATACATCTAATGTGATGAATAGTTTCGTGTATGTCGTGTATATCAATGCAAAATGATGACTACCATGGTAATATTAGATGAAAAGTATGGGAAGAATTTTGTATCTGTTTTTGTCCATAACTTTTCTGTACCTATTTAGTTATGGGAACCCTTGCCTCAGTAAGAACACAGAGCAGTCTCAAAATCTTGAGATGGAATACTTCACTTCCTAAGATTCGGCAATGTCATTTCATCGTAACAGATGCTATGGCTTTAATAGATTTACACATACATTTCCTCTCTGATTGACAAAAAAGAAAAAAAAAGGGAAATTACCAATTAAAATAGTTTTGAGAATGTAGGCATCCTGGGTGCCAGCTGCCCTGCAGCAGCTGGTCCTTTGAGAGTGGGTAATTTTGCCATCTCATGATAATGCAAAACATAATGTTTACCATCACCCTATGCTCAGAATACTAATTATATCTTAAAACACTGCTTTTCATAGAAGGGAGTGGCTGACATTAAAAAAAATTCTGGAGTCTATATCTATTCAAGCTCTATTTTTTTTCCTTTTGTATACAGTGGGATCCTTAATTGTCAATTGCTGGTGTGAGAAAATCATAGCATAAATCAGATGTTCATTCCTGAATATGTGGATCAAGTAGGCAGCTTTAGGACTAGCAGTCAGGAGGCCTGGATTTGAGTCCCAGTTCTTTATCATCTGTTGGACCATGGTGAGGCCACTTTATCTTTTTGGACTTCAGTATCACATAAAAAGAGAGAGAGCATGTCCAGAGTCAGTGAGAGCAGTAACTGTACTGTATAGTACTATGCAGGAAAGTACTCATAGTTGATGTGTGGAGATGTGTACATTGTAACATATAGATCTGAAAGTTCTTGCTATTTAGTGGATCAAAGATGTGCTCAAGTATTTGTTTAAATGTGAACAGAATGGAAATTCAAACTTTTAAAGGAAATACTATGTGCAATATCAGCCAGTCATTTCACTTATTTGTTCTTACTTAAACACTTTATAAAGTATGGATCGCCATTTTATAGACAGTGGAATTTTACTGACAAGGTCACAGTGTTGGTGAAAACAGGGACATAATTTCAAACTGTTTCTACTTTTTCTAGAGCTTCTACTGATACAAAGATACTCAGATACTCAGAGTTGATTGTTTATTTTTTTTTAATAGTGGTGTTTGTAGGGGAGGTAGGGTAGTTTACATTCAAATTCTCAAAATAGAGAGGAAAGTGTGTCAGACCAAACTAGGGCACTCAACTTCCCTACCTCCCAGAAACTTGAAATAGATTTTGGCTAGAGGGTCATAGCTATTTAAAATTAATTTGCTCTCGTTACCAGTTTATTTACTTTGTGAGTAAAGCCTCCACCTGTATTCATTTTGAAGCATATAAGTACATAATCAGCTTCAAAGTCAAGGAATACTTTGTCACAGTAACAAATGCAGGGTTTATCATACTTCTGAGGGACATTGGTTTATGAAGCCATGAGTTCAAGACCAGCCTGGGCAACAAAAGTGATACCCCATCTCTAAAAATCAAAATATTGTTTACATATACAGACTTACTCCCCAATCTCACTCTACCAATCTAATTAAGTTGACAGTTTCACTCTTAGTACTTGATGTTACACACATAAGTCTACAGTATTCATCTGCAGCAATTTCACCTTGTAAACTAGAATTGTCTGCAATATCAACAGATTAATTTTAATATTATTTCTAGAATTTCCTTTAGAAATTTTGGTGCATTCCTTGCCAAAAATATTTTAGAAACAAAAAAGATAGTCTATCATTAGCCCATATTCACAGAGTCACATCTACATTTTGCACTAAATCAAGTATTTTCTAACATGGTACAGCATCACTGAAAAGTAAAATAATACTGAATTATTTGTTCCACTTTGACAATATAATTTAAAGTAACAGGTAATATCTACTCTGTCAAGGTACTAAAATATTTTCTGCCATTGAAATAAGATTTGTGATTTTACACATTTTAAAGTATGTTAACTCATTTAAAATGATCACCAAGTCACAGTAAGTGTTAAAACTTAAAAAAATTCCCATATATGATGCATAAAACACACTGGAAGGAAAGATACAGAAGTTTTAATTTGGGTCCTTTGTGGGTATGGAGATTATGAGTGCTTTAAAAAGCACATTTCTACTTCCATGCTTTTTTCAATTGGACATATATCACAGCAGAGAACCTAACAACATGGGCTTTGGAGGCTTGGTCAGAGCCAGATAGATCTGGGATCTCACCACAGCTCTGAAACTGGGGAGTTCTGTGACTACAGACAAGTCACTTGATATCTCAAAGCCTCAGTTTCTTCATCTGAAAATAGGGATAATGAGATTTTTATTGATTGATTGTTATTGTTATTGAGAGAATGCATGTGAAATACATAGCGTAGTGCCTGAAAAACAGTAAGCATCAAAAATGTTAGCTATCATTATGAAAAAGAGACAAGAAACATTTGCTTAAGAGAATATATAAAGAGACTACAGTGAAGAAAAAATACCAAAGGGGGAGAAAGAAAGAGCTATGGTCAAGATGCTGAAAGTGTTTTTAAAATTTTGTATAAGAAAGGGAGGAAGAGAAGAGATGAATGGGATTTTCAGGAATAAAAATATAAAAATAGAGCTTTTACAGCAAGGTACTGGTACAAAAACAGACACATAGACCACTAGAACAGAATAGGGAGCCTAGAAACAATGCTGCACACTTACAGCCACCTGATTTTCAACAACATTGACAAGAACAAGCAATGGCAAAAGGACTCTTTATTCAATAAATGGTGCTGAAATAACTGGATAGTCATATGCAGAAGATTGCAATTGGACCCCTTCCTTAAACCATCTATAAAAATAATCTCAAGATGGA